CTGTAGACTATAAACAAGACACTCAGTGTAGTACCCTATACTACCTGTTGCACACTCCCTCACCTGCATCCGCACTAAGACTTACCATGATACCAGCAGTTGTATGGAATAGCTCCTTTCCTTATCGCCTAACAACAACAACACCGCACACAACAGCACCAAAGACACAGCCTCAGCCGATGGGAAGACTAGAGGCCGTGGGCGTGTTAAGGGCCGCAGGGGCATGCGCGCAGACCATTCTGACCCAGACGACACAAGCACATCAGACGAAAGCGAGGTGGGTGGTGGGCATGTGGTTGATAGAGGTGGGTATTGTGCATGTGCTACATATGGATATGGGGTATGCTTGAGCTCATTAACTGTATTTATTCCGTTAGTGTGCTACACATAAAAGCATGTATACTGTGTTTCGGATAGCCTAATATCTCGGGTGTTCGTGCGTGCATCGTTGTGTGAATCTCTTGTGTATGGCCCATGCATTGCTGCTATCACGTGGACCGATACATTTTATAGTTCCCATGCGTATTGGGCCGCAATCACCCCTGTGCTTGCATACCCGCCCGTATAACGTATTTGTACGTCAACATTTATACGTAAACGTCAAATATGTACCTACTACCTCTACCTGCCACCACGGCTAGTGCCTGTACATTGCACGTTCAAGGAACCCTTTCACATCAACGACTGTGTCTGCGCCTGTATCACAGCCGCCTTCCACACACACGCACACACACACACATCCAACAGTCCAGTGCACAGTACACGTGTCCATTCCCCCATTGAGCCCCAGCCACAAACTAACCCAAAACTAAGGACCGGTCCTAAAACCCAAGTGCCAAGTCAGCCCCTCCCCTCAATCATTGCACCCTCCCTATCCCCTGCCCCTCTCTTCAGGCTTCAACCACTGGGCCGCGTGAGATCGACAGCAGCGTATACTACACCACCAGCATGCACGACCGCGAACGACGACGCGAGAGCCGCAAGACCCGCCGCAACGGCAGCCACGCATACTACAGCGCACGCGATGACCCCGCGGCACGCAGACGGTCCAATTCCAGGGACACAGGTGCACTGGGCGTAGCTACGGGTGTGTGGGTGGGATTTAGGGGCAAGTGGGGTGTGTGGGTGGGATTCAGGGGCAAGTGGGGTGTGTGGCTGCAGGAGTGTGTGTTGGCAACCTTGCCGTGTATGGTTTGACATGTCTTGTTGTATGTGAACGCGATATAGAGATAGAATAGAGGGGGGTGTGTGTGTGTGTGTAGTCTTAGTTTTAGGGAGGTTGGTATAATCACGCGCGTGTGTGAGGAGCCACAGGAGTATGTGTGTGCGTCTATATATGTGTATGTGTCTGCATGCGCCTATTTGTGTGTATGTGTATGCATGCGCCTATATATGTGTGTGTGGGGGATGGGGTTTGAATAGTGCGAGATTCTCGGGCTGCAATTGATTCTATGCGTTGCCAGCAGGTGTGTTCTATAAATAGTCGTGTGTATCTGATTGGTTCCCTGAACACATAAGGCAATGCATAAGTGAGCGCGTCATGGAGTGATAGGTGTGTGTCGATTGACTACTGCCCATCAGCGTTGTATGTGTCACTTTTTGTTTGTCCTCTGCAGGCGCTTCCACCGTTCACGTTTATGCTGCCCGCACATACGCTTTGGTTAACACATACCGATGCACAAGCGAGTGATCCGAGCAATCCGTATACTCAAAACATCCCCCTTTTTAGGGTTTTAGTATTTAGGGTTAAAACCCTACTAACCTCTAAACATCCTCTGTGTGCTGTATCCCACGTCTCGTCTCTCTCATGATACATCCGATTGTGGCATGCATGAGCCACTCTGTGCAATCAGTTTGGTGTGTCACCAGTCGTCCCTCCCACTGCGTAGTGTCTACTGCCTGCTGTCTACTGTTCGTGTCCTGTCCTCTGCTCTGCCCATCGGATGTCTTGCCTGACCCACAGCGTCTCTGTCGCACGTGCGCCGTCGTACGTATTTACGCTGCTCTAAAGTTGTTTGTACTCTGAAGATATCGTCACCGCTCCCTCTCACCACAGCCGACAACACCTACAAGCCATTCCAGGCCCTTCAAGCGTCTGTGCCAAATGCCGCAGCCCTACTCGCCACCACAAACACAAACACGCGCACACGCACAAGAGCACGCCTACAGCCCCATCCACGCAACAGCACCCGCACACACACGCACTCGCGCGACCACAGCGACCGTGACACACGCGCCACACGCGCACACCACTCCGACAGTGGCAGCGACCACAGCACAGCCAGTGGCAGTGACAGCGACGGATTCAGCGGCAGTGACAGCGACGCTGGTAACCATGGCAACCACGACAGCGCGGACCAGCAAGACAGCGAGAGCGACGGGCGCGACGCGCCGCGCACACCGCGATCACACGCGCGAATACGCGCATGTGCGGAAGAGGACTCGTGCTCGTCGGAAACAGCGCCACACACCGCACACAGCGGCAGCGAGAGTGCAAGCTGCAGTGACAGTGATTACGATAGTGGCAGTGGTAGTGGTAGTCATAGCAACAGTTGGAGTGGCAGTGGCACGGACTATGACACTGAGGCGTTGCACAGGGGCGAAAGCGACGTCAGTGACCTAGAGACCTATCTCTCACAACACGTCAGTGTGCAGACACCGCCCAGAGATACGGCCACGTATGTTAAACAATTGTAATCAGTGCATTGTCAACCCTAGTACTTGGTACATAGTGCCAAGTGCCAAGTGCCAAGTGCTTATTGCTTAACGCTATGTGGTTAGTGCCAAGTGCTTATTGCTTAATGCTATGTGGTTAGTGCTAAGTGCTTATTGCTTAATGCTAAGTGGTTTGTGGTTTGTGCTAAGTGCTTATTGCTCAATGATAAGTAGTTTGTGGTTAAGCTAAGTGCTTATTGCTTAATGCTAAGTGGTTTGTGGTGAGTGCCAAGTGCTTATTGCTTTGTGCTAAGTGATTTGGGGTTAGTGCCAAAAGCTTATTGCTTATTGCTAAGTGGTTTGTGGTTCGTGCTAAGTGCTTATTTTTCAATGCTACGTGGTTTGGGGTTAGTGCTTATTGCTTAATGCTAAGTGGTTTGTGGTTAGTGCTAGGTGATTATTGCTTAATGCTAATTGGTTTGTGGTTAGTGTTAAGTGCTTATTGCTCAATGCTAAGTAGATTGTGGTTAATGCTAAGTGCTTATTGCTTAATGCTAAGTGGTTTGTGGTTAGTGCTAAGTGCTTATTGCTTAATGCGAATTGGTTTGTGGTTAGTGCTAAGTGCATATTGCTTCATGCTAAGTGGTTTGTGGTTAGCGCTAAGTGCTTATTGCTCAGTGCTAAGAGGGTTGGGGTTAGTGCTATGTGCTTATTGCTTCATGCTAAGTGGTTTGTGGTTAGTGCTAAGTGCTCATTGCTTAATGCTAAGTGGGTTGTGGTTTGTGCTAAGTGCTTATTGCTCAGTGCTAAGTGGGTTGGGGTTAGTGCTAAGTGCTTATTGCTTAATGCTAAGTGGTTTGTGGTTAGTGCTAAGTGCCTATTGCTTAACGCTAAGTGGTTTGTGGTTAATGCCAAGTGCTTATTGCTTAAGGCTAAGTGGTTTGTGGTTAGTGTCAAGTGCTTATTGCTTAATGCTAAGTGGCTAGTGCTAAGTTCTCATTGCTTCATGCTAAGTGGTTTGTGGTTAGTGCTAAGTGCTTATTGCTTTGTTCTAAGTGGTTTGTGGTTAATGCCAAGTGCTTATTGCTTAATATTAAGTGGTTTGCGGTTCATGCTAAGTGCTTATTGCTTAATACTAAGTGGTTTGTGGTTCATGCTAAGTGCTTATTGCTTGATGCTATATATACATATATATATATATATATATATATATATATATATATATATATATATATATATATATAGTATTGTATATATATATATATGTGTGTGTAGTATATATATATATATATATATATATATATATATATATATATATACTACTACGT